ATAAATTAACTTTAGAAAAAAATAAAATATTTATATTATTGCATTTGTTTTAAAGATATTATTCTATTGCATAATGTTATGTTAAAACAAAAAGACGGGTAATAATGCCTGGGATTAATGTTTTCAGATCAATTCTTCCAGGTATAATTTTTGGTTTGATATTTAAGTTTTGTCTTGAATGGCAAGTGAGAATTTCACAAGTACTAACAGTAATATACATATTTCCTCTTTTAATGTAGTTATGCTAAATAAATGCATCTTAAATACCAAAATTTTCTGTGTTTTGCTTTCAGAAAGAATTCACTATGATTAGCTATTTTTGAAGTTATTAGATCAAACTAAAGACAATACAATATGAATTTTGGAGCTAGTGTACAATGCTGACAATTTAAATAAAATTTTGAAGCTATTTTTCAGTATGTTTCAAGTTCTATGATAGCATGATGTTCTCATGATTTTGATAGAAGAGAAATTAATCTGTTAGAACAGAAATTACATTCTTCTCTGGGTTTATTCCTATTAGCTACCACCACTGAAACATGACTAGGCATTGTCCATTATCCTAAGTGGGAATTGAAGGCCTGACCACTAAGAAACTCCACAGAAATAGTACAATTTTAGGGAAGACAAAATATAAAATTAGGTTATGCACACCGCTAGATCTACGGAAATTTATTCGGTCTTGTACTTTAAATGGGTATACTTTGCAAATGTTATCTCTATATAGCTATTAAAGTGAATGTATGACCCAGATATTAGGGGGAAAACTTGAAAGACCGTAAATACATTAATTCCAAACTGATAGAAACAATGATATATATCCAAACAACATAATACTTTGCAATTTAAAAAGGAAAATGAAGAACTTACCTACTGATAGGGCAGAATGCTAAGACTTACTTTAAGATGAAAAGGTAAAGAGTAGATTAGCATATCCTAGTAGGTAAAAAGATGAAGTAGAATGGAGTATAAAATAAAAGTATACTATTGTCATATAAAATAAAAGTATACATATTATTTGTACATCAAGTATATGTCTTTTAGTCCCTAGATTATTTTACCACTTTAAAAATATAATTACAATGATTTTTGAAGATTTGCTTCACCGTACACTTTTAAGAGCCACAAAGTCAAGATTCCTCCAGCTGAGTTTCTTTTTTTCATCGTAATTCTAAAAATTCTGCTTTTCTGCTTATGAAGCAAGGCTTCCAGGATTCACATTTGTGAGTGAGTCCATTCTTCCTTCTAAGAAATTGAGGCCAGACAAATGTATGCTAAACTGATAAAGTCAGCTGACAAGTTAAATCCCTCAAGCTGAAACAATGTGAATTGCTTGCTGCCTGCCAGGCAAATGATTTTTTAGAACTTTCTGGAAATGGGAGAATGGCAAGAATGAGACAATGAGTGGAGGGTTTTTCTTTCTTCCACCCAAAGCTGCCACAACATGATTAGCAATCACTGTCATATCCAAGGTACCTTTCTCTAAGGATCAGGCTTGATTTTGAGTAAAATTAGCATACCATTCAATCATTAATTCATTCAGAAAAGGGTTATTGGAGATTACTGCTTGTTATGCCAGTGACTGGTTCATCACTATATCCTTGTCCAAAGATACCAAGAGACAATCCAGCAGAATCTTTATCCTTATTATTTTAGACTGATAGTAATAAGAAAGGCAATGAAGTTTTACAATATTGGTGATTTAAAAAAGTTTTGAAAACCCTGAATCTTGATTTATTTGTAAGGTCTTATATACTCATGATTTTTAGAATGAAAAGCAATTACAAATTGAATGCTTCTTTTGTACATTACTAAATATATTAGTGTGACTATCATCTAATTGTGTTTAATAAATGTCCACATTTATTTGGTATCTTTAGCCTATTTTACGTAAAGTAAAAATAAGTTAAAATGTTATCAGAAGAAATTTTGTTTCCTTTTAAGTCTATTAAAAGTGAACAAAGTTTATTTTACTTCTAAAATAGGTAAGGTCATGGGGCGCCTGGGTGGCTTAGTCGGTTAAGCGTCCGACTTTCGCTTAGGTCATGATCTCGCGGTTCGTGGGTTTGAGCCCCGCGTTGGGCCCTGTGCTGACTGCCAGCTCAGAGCCTGGAGCCTGTTTCAGTCTGTGACTTCCTCTCTCTCTGACCCTCCCCTGCTTATGCTGTCTCTCTCTCCTAGAAATAAATAAAACATTAAAAAAAATTTTTTTAATAGGTAAGGTCATGACATAATTTATAATTTAAGAAAAGAAAAGCATTGAAAGTAGAGGGCTGCTAATAATAATATGTCAGATACAAAATTTGACCTTAAAAACAGGATATGTTAAATTAATGCTGTTTTCAAAATTTGATTTATGACCCTACTGTTTTAATTGATGGATCAATTAACAGTAATTATTTTGGTATAATCAGCAGCTGAAATGTGCAACATATTGATTTTTTCAGGTGAGACATAGACTCCCTTAGCAGCTACTGTAGGAGAATGAAGTAGTGACATTTAATTCAGCCTCATTTATTCCTGAAAGAGATAATTGACTGCAGTTCATGAAGTCCATAGCGAGAGAGAGACGAAATGGTGAAATCATTCAGAAACAATGAAAAAAAAATTACAATATGGAATACTGAGTAATAAATCCCATGAACTTCAAATTAGCAGTGCTTAATAGAAGTTACTTTATTTTTTTTACATTTTTTTCTTTTTATTTATTTTTTATTTTTTTCTTACAAATAGTTTATTGTCAAGTTGGTTTCCATATAAAACCCAGTGCTCATCCCCACAAGTGCCCTCCTCCATACCCATCACCCTACTCCCCCCAAGAAGTTACTTTAAAGGGACAAACTTACAAGTACAAAAGGGGAGAAATATGCTAATCTAACAGAAATCTGAGAAAGTTGATTGTAAGATTGCATCAAAAGTGTTAGAATTTATATTATTTATAAAACCAAATGTGTGTAATGGAGTTATGAAATGGTCCCCAAATATAAACTTATTTTCACTTGTTATGTTTTCTTGTTAGTACTGTAGTACATTGGAGGTTTACAAATATCGCTCAAATTAATTTATAAAATATTTCTTAGAAAGTCTACTTGGGGATAATCGTTGTCAGGGTTAACGTGAAGAAATGAGCAGAGATGATCCATCCATTTTTTGTGGATATTGTATTTGAAGAGAGAGAAGACAGTCGGGCTTAATCAAAAATATAAATATATGGTTACAACCTGTGATAAACATCATAAGTAGGAATTTCAGGTTACAGAATCTTTGTAAAACAAATGACCTATCAATTAGTATTATTTTGGTAAAATGTTTCCAAAAAATAATTTCATTTTCTTCAGCTTTTTTATTCCAATAAGTTGACATGGTAATAGACAGGAGATGCAAAAATGTCTCCAAATGTCAATCAGAAGATACCTTTGAGTGGACTTCTTTTGCTGAGGTTTTATCTTTATGACAATGTACAATGCAAAACTTTACTCATTCAGTTAAGTTGTTGTTTATTTGTATTGCAGCAAGATTTTTTTACTTAAAAAGATAAGTCTCCTAGTGATTATATCAAATGAAAATTCCAGAAGCACTACTTCCAAACAGTAATGTAACACTCATGTATATTCTGAAAACATTAATTCAATATATATTGTTTGCTCTGAATAAGGAGTTCTGCCGAAATAAGGAATTTATTTGTGGAGGAAAGGTAGAAAAACAATGACCAGTGTACAGCCTGTAGCTCTACATAAAATAAAATATATATATATATACTCCAAGCCAGTGGAAAATATTCTAACAGTGGTACATTGACATATGGAATTTTAGAGATGAAAGAAATATCAGTTTCATTTTAAGGACCAATGAAGAAAGCTATCTAGAGGAAATAATATAGATTTTGACTTGGCACTTTAGGTGAAACTTAGATAGGAAGAGAAGAGAAAGAATGCATAGAAAGTAATTCAAAGAAACATCCTATATTCAGAATGTTCAGAGTTTTGAAGGAATTGTAATCTCATTGGGTATGAGTGAAGTTAAGGTACTTATTAGGAATCACGATAAAATAAGTTGGGAAACAAAGAAGGATTCCATTATTAAGAGGCTTTGAATGTAAAAGTAAGGACCTTCAACTTAATTCAAAGGGATTTTGTTATTGTTCCATTATTTATTAAGGAAGAAAAAAATTAAACTGGTAGTAAAATTTGTGGGACAAATATTAATGGAATCACTTACAGGCATTTCTGAGGTACCTCTTGGATAACTCTTAGAAATGAATGCAAGTCACTTTGAGGAATAGATATTTCTAGTAATCAACCTAGAAATAATTCAAGTGCAGGCAGTTTTACCATTAAAAGGTAACATGGCCTAATTTTTTTTTAAAATTTTTTTAATGTTTATTTTTGAGAGAGAACAAGAGACAGAGCATGAGCGGGTGAGGGGCAGAGAGAGGGAGACACAGAATCTGAAGCAGGGTCCAGACTTTGAGCTGTTAGCACAGAGTCCAATGCAGGGCTAGAACCCACAGACTGTGAGATCGTGACCTGAGTGAAGTCAGGTGCTTAACCGACTGAGCCACCCAGGTGCCCCTGGCCTAATTTTTTAAATCTTAAGTACATGAAGGTTAAAATAGTCACAGTAGAGCCAAAATTCTACTGTGGCCAAAATTAGCCAAATTCTAATTCTTCAAAGTCAGAAAACTGACTTTTAGGCTTATGGAGGCTGATACATTCAGGTTTCTTAACTACTTAGAAGAAATTAATTTAGCTTCTCAGAACCACAAAGATGGACTGTAACACTGTGACCCACCTGAGGTCACATTCTAGAGCTCAGGCATTTTCAACATTTATAAATCTCACAAAATGGAAGCCAAAGATAATAATTCTCTTTACCCACATTTAAACTGTGATGTGTGTTGTTTTTATTTCATCTTATTTTAAACCAGAGTTTCTGTTATTTCTGTTTGAGTTCATGCACTTTTACTTATATTGTGTTTTCTGATCTTTTTATAAATCTAGATCCCAGGATTCCACTCTCTCTACAGTGTCTTCTGTTGCTCCGTCTAGTGCAACGGAAGGGATTGAGTCCATGTGGACCTCCCTCAGCACCGTATCTGTAGCGCCACCCATGTGCCAGGAGGACCTGTGTCACAATGGAGGCACTTGTCATCCTGTCTCCCTCCCCAGCGGTACCTTCTCACTGCATTGTGACTGCCCACTACATTTTACTGGCCGTTTCTGTGAACAAGGTAAGCAATCTTCATTTGTTTATAGAAACTTCTCCAGAGGGGACAAGAGAATTACAATCCTGTTGTAAGCACATTGACAGATACTAGCACAAACAAGAAACATCCGTATAATTTTATTTAAAAATGAATTCTGAAAGAATACTTTAGGTTCAGTATTGTAGAAGCAATCCTAAAATTTTATTTTCTTCATTAGGATTGCCATTCAAAATATATTTTCAATTGCCACAAAATATAAGTGTTAAAGTGGAAATGTAGTGCTCTTTATGTAGTTTCTTCTAAGATTATGGTATGTCCATCTTTTGTCACCATACAAACAATTAGGTTCTACTTTATACTACTTTTATTGCTTAGTTGTTAATCACATCACTATTTTTTGTTTTTCATAAGCAAATCCCCATATTTCAACTATTTTGTTAAGAGTATGTTATTTTTTGATGCTTAAGAACACTGTTTTAGCATTAATGGAGCTATTATGAATCAAAAGAAAATTTTCTTATTGTCAACATCTCTTGGCCTCCTAAGAGTCTCTCAGTTAATTAAAGCAGTGCTGGGCAATTAGAGCCAGAAACACCCTGGGCAGATTACAAAGGCATTAGGTCATGATGCATGTCCTTACACTAATAGCTGAAAAGTGACATTGTTTTCTATGTAAAATTAATCACTGGTTCTAAATTGAGGAGGTGAGGATGGGGATTTCTATTGGGTAGTGATTCAGATGGCAGAGAATTTTATTATTTGTCCGAGATTGTGTTAAATAATTCCTTTTTCAACACCAAAGTGTGAGACTTTTGGAAGCAAACTCATAGGTATGTATATGTTATTCAGCTCTTCTTGCCAAATGACCTTGTGTGACTGTTATGTGTTAATATTCAGCCGAGTAAGCAAGTAAATATAGTAAAAAGCACAGAAATGGAAACATGGTCTATTTTCAGGCTCAGTGTATAAATAATATGTGTCCTTAAAGTCTATTTTTTAACTGTAAAATGTTTTTGAAAACATCACTATTGCTTGATTTTTTTAGTGAATATTTCATACATCTGCAAAATAGGAGACTTGCCTTCTGCTACAGTGTGAGACCATTTATGCTACATTCTCTGCGTAGAGTTCTAGGGACATAATTTGAACTGTAAAGCTCTTTTAGACCCACACTTACCCATTTAAATCTCTGAGAGGGCTGTTTTTCTTTTTTTTTAATTTCAGGCTAGGTAGAGTTTTAGATAAATACCCTTCTTACCTTTATTAAACTATATTTTGATTTCTAATGTTTTTTATAAATCAAATTTACTAATGATAGTAAAATTGATATAATGAAATGAGGAGTCCTTAGTTATTGGCTGTCAATAACACATTGACAATCACACATGTTAGACTACATGTGAAACTTCCAGCCATAATCCTTATCTCTCCTGATGAATCCCCAATTTTCCCTCCTTTAACTCCTTACTGAGTAGATTTAATGCTGGATGTGTAGACCTCTGGAAAGAGAGAAATCCAGGTTTATTTGGAGTTAAACCCAAGGCTTGACTGAGATTTAATTTATTTGGTGTTTTGGGTGGCAGAATGTAGAAAACTGACCTCAGGAAAAGAATTGTGAAACTCTTTTTATATTTGTTGTTAGGGATATTTTATTTTTCTCTTTTTAGCACTATTAATCACTTCCTGCCTTCTACATTTTAATGTTTTTCTTGTTGAATTTATAATATTTTAAAACTAATAATTGGATGATATGTGTTGCAAAAATTAGGTAATCCACTATAGAGTATTAATTTCTAAGTGCAAAATAATCAGAAACTTTGAGTACATAATTATTACCAATTACAAGAGTTTTTAAAGAGACTTTAAGTGGGCAATAACTGAGGTTATGTTATACTGTAAACAAAATTCATGCAATAGAACTCTTTTTTATAGTATGAGTTATCATAGTATTATCTTGTTCTTTCCTCCTTTTTTGGGAAATATTTCAGTATAATACTAATAATGCAGTATAATATGCATTTTTAGAATGGGGAATATTATTTCGAAGTGTAAAAATTTTATGTAGTTTTAATCATTTATTCCCTAAATTTGAATTAAGTCATAATTCAGTCATAAAGTCAATAATAGGTTTTTGTTTTCAATCTAATGCTCTATATATAATTCACACTAGTATGCATTTTACAACCGAGATTGACAGATGAGGATGGGCACCTAAGATCCATGATTCAGGAATCTAATACCATGATGAGACTTCTTATAGCATTATCTAGATTGGCCAGATGCCATAATTTCTAAGTGTAGATTTTAATAAACAATGGTGTATGCCAGTTTCAGTGTTTCACTGACATGGTAATAATCTTGATTTGGATAAACAGTCCCTAAATCAGTCTGTCTCTGTCTCTGTTTCTCTCTAGGTATATATATGTATATATAAGAAATGTTATCAGTATTAAAATGTTTAGAACTTAAAGATAATTGCTATGAAAATAATTTTTTAAATGAGTCCTTTATTGAGTACATTCAACAGCTAAAAAATATGAAATTCTGCTTCAGGAATGAAATTTACATAATATCACTGTGAAGCATTCTGATTTACCAGACACTGCACTGAGTGTTTCATGCATCTTATTTCATTTAACCCTCAGAATAACCCAGCTGAAGTGGGAACTGTAAATTAACCCAATTTACAAATGAGAAATCTAAAGCCTAGACTCTATTAAATTACTCACCAAAGGTCATACAGCCTGTCTGTGGTAGAGGCAGGATTAGAAGCAATCTTCGCTGACTCCAAACTTCACATTTAACCACTTTGCTCTATTGCTACACTAGTTAGAATATCAAATTTAGCATGATGGCATGACATGGAATTTCTGAATTTTCTCATTCCTTAATCTCTACATTAAAAATATCTTTATTTCAGGGAAAAAAAAAGAACATTCTTTAAAAAATGAAATTGTAGGGGTGCCTGGGTGGCTAACTCAATTGAATGTCTGACTCTTGATTTCAGCTCAGGTTATAACCCCAAGGTCATGGGATTGAGCCCTGCATGGTGCTCCACACTGAACATGGAGACTGCTTAAGATTCTCTCCCTCTCCACCGCTCACATGTGCTCTCTCTTTCTCTCTCAAATAAAATAAAATAAAATTTTGAAAACCAGGAAACCAAAGAAATTAATGTTGATCTACTAAATTTTTACTGGAGAGAGGATTATTACTATGATCCACATAAAATTAAACTGTAAAGCATATTAGGTGACCTGGAAAGAATTGTATCTCCATAATGATTTCAGTAAAACTGAAATATAGAAAGTAGATGAATGAGATTTAAATTTCAGGAAAATCTGTTTATTAATGATGATGATACAGTTCTCTGAAAAAAATATATAATTGCACAGATATCTATAAGTAAAGATATGTTGGACATTGATTTTTCTTCACAACCTTGATTTTTTACTTCCAGTCAGTATTCTTAACTTGTGAGAGGATCTTAAAGTATTTTATTTTAACAACTTTGATTTTTCACAGCAAAATTGAAGTGTAAATTAAGTACAGACCTTAATTAAAATTGTACTAGATTCAGTAAAAAAGAGAAGGGATTTTTAGGGCTACGAGACTCAGTAATGGGTCACCCATACACGTTTCCTTTCTACTTGGCATTACGTAATGTGCTCTATTTTATCAAATCATTCCTGTCCAATCACCTAATAGCATTGACTTTTATAGAATTGGTTTGATTTAATATGCACTTTTGTCTCAACATATGCTATCTTAATTCATATTAGCTAAACCTTGTTGCCTACTTTATCATAATGATACTGCATCTCACCAGGGGAAACATAAGAGCATATATTCTCGCTTTGTTTTAGATGGCTACATGCAGGCAGATGGCTGTCTCCTACTGTAAAGTTCAGAGTGACAGATTTAGAATATCAGTGCCTTGTGATGGGGGAAAGCGTATGCCTCTGACTATTAATTATAGGATTAACATTTTTTAACAGCCCAATACTTTTTAGTGTTCTATAAAACAGTTTTATAAATAGTACAATAAAGGAGCATTTAAATGCCATACATTAAACCCAAGAAATCTTTTGTTTTATTTGATATCCTGTCTGTGTATATCCCATATATGTTTAAAGGTCAACTGTACTGAGTAAATTGCAAACCTAGAAATAAAAATGAGAGGTTTTAGTAGGCATTTTGTCTCATTATAAAATAAAGGAAAGACTGCCTTAACACCTGCCTTTGCTTTTACCATATTATTTTAAAGGCATATTAAAGTAGATTGAATTTATTTATTAACTTTCAATCAGGTGACTGAATGTCAGACATTCCAGCACCAAGAAGGCAGAGAAACAGAGCATTAATCAGCTTCTTATAATGATGATTTATCTCCTTTGCAAGGAACTGATGGTCTACATCACCAGCAAAAGGCCAAGAAATGAGTTTTGGCATTTTCAAACATAATACTGAAAATTCTCATGTCTGAAAATATATTTTTTAAATCCTAGAGCAGTGCTGTGTGTTAGTAAACAGCAACTGCTGAAATAGGCAGATGTTAAGTTGAAAATGAATGGAGATTGAGTCAAGGACAGGGGCTGAAAGGAGACAAGATTACCTATTATCAAAGACAGAGGATTTCATTTTTGAAGGCAATGGTGGGCTGAAGGGCTCTAGTCTTCTCCACTATCAGTTGCTGTACACTCTCCAGCCAGGAGTTCTGTGTTCAGTTAGTGGAAGAAGACAGCTCCCTCTTCATCTCAGTGATTATAACTATGTAAAAAGTAAATGTCCATCAATCTCTCTACTTATACTTGTAATAATCCAGAAATTTCCATATAGGATGAAGAGGAAATATACATACCCTTCTATGAAAAAAGACTGATACGTATTTGTCTCCTTTATTACCTTAATTAACATTTTTTATTCTACTATAATTCAACACATTAAATAAACATTAGGTGAACACCTAACATGTATAACACATGGAAATTAGTTGTTAGAGGTAGTATGAAATTAAGAAAGTA